CATCTCATTGCATCCATAGCATCTTCTTGTTGGGACTTGGGCTTTCTTTCTTGCCTCTTTGTGCAATGGACACTTCTCGGTTGGATGCCCCAATTTCTTGCATATGAGACAAGCACTTGGCTCATCGTTCTTCACTTGCTTGGCCAATTTGGTGGAAGCCTCTTGTTTGGCGGCTTCACACTTGTCGGCCCAACTCTTGTGTGAACACATGGCAATCTCATGTCCATACAATCCACAACCATAGCATAGCCTTTTTTCCATGTTTCTTGCTCTTAGTTGTTTTGGCCTTGCTTGAAGTGTGATTCTTTTGTTGGGATTTGGAGGGAGCAAGGTTTGAATCCTTCTCAAGCTTCTTCACCATGTTATCACGATTATCTTGAGAAGGTTGTGCTTCCTCCTTTCCCTTCAACCGAATCACGTCTTTCCTTAATCTTTCCACTTCTTCCTTGAGCTCTATGTTTTCTATAAGATTTTGCTCAATCGAAGATTGGCTTACTTGAGGAGCACACTCATTAGTACAAGAAGTATTGAATTGAGATTGTGTACATGTGAGTGTGTGTGGGGGAGGTTGAGATGATTTCACCGATGTGATTACAACCTCATGAGCCACCTCAAGCATAATGCTTGATTCTACTTACTCCTAATGAGAGCACTGTAGATGAACATAGTTTGCTTGTAGCACATTATACTTGCTTGATAGTTCATCTAGCCTTGCCTTGAGCTCAAAGCTTTCCTTCTCTAGTTGTGAAACACTAGAAGAGGAGTTAGTAACTAAAGCATGCTCAATTGATAATTTTTCATACCTCTCATTGATTTCCTTTAGTTCTTCTAACTTGGAGATGAGAAACATTTCTTGCCGTTGAAGTGATTGCTCTTGCTTCTCATTCTCTTCCTCTAGCTCATCATTCTTCTCAACTAGCTTCATGAGGATGAGATTGTATTTGCTACTTAGATGATCAAAAGTGTAACTATCTTCAATTTCAATATCACTCTCCTCTTGATCATCTATTTGCGCTATCTCCTTGGCTTGTTCTTTCTTGTTAGCCTTCTTCTTACTTTTCTTGGCCATGAGACATAAGTGATGAGAATCATGAGATACTGAGGTTGACTCATCTCACACTTAGGAAACATGTTAGACCTTTAATCGTGTTGTCATTCAATCATCCAAAACCCACTAAGGGGCTAGATGCACTTTCAGAACATAGTCATCTTTGATCTTCACTAAGATGTCTTTTGCTATTCCATCCAGAAACCGAATTGTATGGTCCACCATATGTAATTGAATATATGTAGGAAACAAAGGCCCTTCTAACAAGTTATCATATGTTCCCTTGGACATGATGTTGACACCTGGTCCAAGGTAGCAGAAGGCGTTGTAGAACACTTGCGGTCTAATAGAACATTTGATCGTAGGTAATCCTGGATCTCCTTTCTTGGTGATGAATGGTGAAGCGAGGTATTGGTCGTAGTTGGATCGAAGTGTGTTAATTATGTTAACAAACTCAAGCCTTCCTTGCTCAAATTTTTGTTTCTGTGTCCCTTGCAGCTCATTCTTCTCCTTCTTGCTTTTGGTTCGCCTAGTTGGGGGTTGTTCCTGTAACATCTTAGTGGAATGCCACTTGCTATTTTTAAAAGAGAACTTCTCCATTCTATCTTTCATTTAGAAACAGATCCTGGCGCTTTCGGCTTGGATGATTGCTTTAGTTGTGTGTAGGAAAGGACGTCCCAGGATGATGGGTGCCTTCAAATCACAGCCGGTATCCAAGACTACAAAGTCCACAGATACATACGAGCTTCCAACTTGTATACAAATATATTCTGCGATTCCTTCTACTCGGCGAGTAGATTGGTCTACAAGTTGCACATGCATGGTTGTGTACAATAAAGTATCAAATTGTAAAATGTGATCGTATATTACCTTTGGCACAACATTGAAGCTTGCACCAAGGTTGCAGATGACTTGATTGAACTCATGAGGTCCAATCTTGATAGGAATGACAGGGCGTCCAAAATCACCTTTCTTTTTGGGCATGGAATCATCCCGCCAATTTCCATGGCTAGGTTCCGTGTAGAACTTTGAATTTGCTATTTTAATTATGTTCACAGTTTCGGGTTCTTCGGGTTGCCTTGGAATTTTAACTTTTTTGGTTGATGGGATAGCAGATGCCAACTGAGCTATTTGTGATTCTAACATTTTATTAAAGCTAAGCTGGTTCTTTATGGCAGATGAGAAATTATCCATTTTATTATTTATGTTTTCTAAGATCTTATCATTAGCAGCAAGCTTTTTAGATATGTTTTCATTGATTTTAGCTTGTCCTAAAACTAGGTCTTTCAAGGATGATTGATTATAAGGATTATTAAAATTATTAATTTGGTAGTTACCTTGGTAATTACCTTAATAGTTGAGTCATGGTTGTTGATCCCATCCTTGTCCTTGTTGTTGTTGAGGACGATAATTGTTGGAGTTGTTGTTGATGAAGTTCACATTTTCTTGTGTTTAGGTGCAGTTGTTGCCCAAATGTCCAGTTCTTCCATAGACTTCACATGTCATGTGTGAGTCATGGACTTGCATAACACCTTGTTTCTCATTGGATTGATCTTCAAGTCTTTTCATGAGCAAGTCCATCTTAGCAGACAACATGTCTACTTCTTTGACCGTATGCATACCTCCACCTCTCTTGCGGGGTTGGAGACGTTCTTCCGACCTGCCTTGGTTGGAAACCATCTTCTCTATGAGAGCTATTGCATTGGTGATTGTAAGTGATAAGAATGCTCCTCCAGCAGTAGCATCCATATTTTCACGGGTGCTATTGGTCAGCCCGTGGTAGAAGGTTTGCATAAGCAACCAATCCTTCATTCCATGATGAGGACATTCTGAAATATATTCTTGAAAACGTTCCCATGCCTCGGGAATAGCTTCATCACTTTCTTGTTGAAAACTTGAAATTCTTCCACGCAAAGCATTGGTTTTACCCACTAGAAAGAATTTTGATAGGAATACGTTGGAGCACTTTGCCCAAGTGTTGATGTTTTCTTTGTTGGCGTAGAACCATTGCTTCACCTTCCCCAAGAGTGAGAATGGGAAGAGACGAAGTAACACGACATCTTGAGTGACTCCTTTGATAGTAAATGTGCTACAAATCTCCAGAAAATGTTGAAGATGAGCACTTGCATCTTCGTGTGTCTTTCCACAGAATGGGCTAGCTTGCACCATGTTGATGAGAGCTGGCTTGAGTTCAAATGAGGCGTCTCTAGTGTTGACCGTTGGTCCAGTGCGAATGTTCGCAGTGCTTGGAGTAGAGAATTCACAAAGTGTCTTGTCAGCCATAGCTCCTGAAACTGGTGTTGAGCTACCTCTTGATTGGTTTGATTGAGAAGTTGATGCTTCCTCGGTCTTTCTTTTCTTGCTTTTCCTAATGAGAGATTCTGTATTTTCAATGAAATTTGTCAAAAGGTTGAAACCGGTCATGCAATACCATGTATAAGATATAAACAAAATAAAGACAAGGGTAAGCCTACTAGAGCAATGGTGAATAGTTTTGATTTAATCAATAAGTATAGTCTGATCAATTCTTTAATTGCCTTGTGCCCTCCTCAGCAACGGCGCCAGAAATGCTTGTTGGCGTTTGTGAGTGCAAATATAATTTTAAGGATTCTGCAAGCGCACAGATTACCATTGTAGCATTTCACCTGGAGTTTTTCAGGTATCGTTATTTATATTTTACTACAGAGAGGAATGATGGCATTTAAAGAGATTGATAAACTTATACTTGGGATGAATCAAGTAACCATCCACTTACTCTAAACAGGGGTAAACCAAAAGATAGATAGATATATGATAAATATAACATTCAGGGAGAGACTCCAAAAGATAGCAATAGCTAGTCTATGTTAGTTAAAAGTGAGTTAAATTCCTAAGTTATTCTTAATTACAAGTCATAGCATACCATCATTTTAAATACTTAGCAATAACAAAAGATTATCTCTACTTTCACGCATAAGGGACATCTCTAAAGAGGAACATAGCTAAATATACTTCCTTCGTTGTGACCAGGTCCTACTAGTCCTACATACGTGAGATGGATTACAAAGGATCAATGAGACTGTCACCCCCGCGATCAACCTTACGTTCCGGCATGTAGGGTGCATCCACAGGCAAAACATTGTATAAGCACCACGCTTACACAAGGTTCGGCTACTCAACCAATTCGAACACTTAATTGAGCGACCATCAACAATGACTGGCCATACCCCTAGTTGCGGCGAGCCTCCATGGCTAGGCAAGCCCCCATGGTTGCGCAAGCCCCTAGCCATGCCAACCTTAGCTATGTGGCCCTAGCCCTCTGTGGTGCCTCCCAAGACACACCACCCCGGAGCCATGAATTTGCGATAGAGAAAAGAGGGGAGATATAGAAGAGATCGAGGGAGCTTAGGGTGGAGAGATAAAGAGGAAGGAGGTGGGAAAAATGGAGCTAACATAGGGGGCTTTTATGTCATCATGCCACATCTGCACATGAGCAAGAGTCTAGACCCATTTTAGATTGGTTGTGATACCCGAATATAGGTTAAGGATCTAAATAGGTGATTTATAAGTTTAGGGACTAAGATGACACAATTGAACAGTGTTTAAAGATCTAAATGGCTGACTTGTAAGTTTAGAGACCAAGATAATATATAGCCGAACAAGTTTAAGGAACTCAAGGAACGATTAGCGAGTGTAGAAACTGGAATTACATAGCTAAATAAGTTTCAGAACTAGAAAATGACCAAGGATCGGAGATGCTTTTCAAGAATTTAGAAGTAGCTTACATTTATGGTTAAATTTGCAAACAAAACTTTTCCACATAAAGTACATGTTTCACGTACAAACTTGCACTGCTCGTATATATACAGTCAACATCGATCCGTTTCTGATGCAGATCGTGGACGACGATATGAGAACGAAGTGAAGACATGCAAGAGCTAGCAAATACTGGATCGATCGATCGTTGTTTCAGCTAGCGGAGGATGGTCTGGAGCAGTATCTGGTTAAATGTGTCCACCGGCCCGGGCATGCACCAGTGCAAGCAGTCGTGCTGCACCGGCCGGCCGCCCGTGTTGCCGGCGGCGAACGGGTTCTTGCGCATGTACGGGCCCGGGTGGCCGTCCGGCCGCAGGTTGGCCAGCGCCGTCACGTCTACCGCCGCGAACCGCATCTCCGTCTCGGTGTACCCCAGTTCCGTGTCGGCATTCTTCTTGCACGGGGCGCCCTCGTTCCACTGCCCCTCGAAGTGCGACGGCGAGAACATGGTCATCACCACCAGCTTCACGCCGGCGCCGCTGTGCTGCTGCTCGTGATGCCGGCGGGTGGCCTCGGCGAGCGTCCGTCTGACGGCGTCCCTGAACATGGAGAAGAAGCTGATCTCGGCGACAGCGGTGTGGTTGAACTCCGCCGCGTCGCAGCCGTGGCAGCCGACGACCCTGCCGCCCTCGTGGTAGACGCTGGGGATCCGGAACCAGTGGCCCGCGGACAGCACGGCGGCGTCGATGGCGCCGAGCTGCGACATCCAGCGCTCGTCGAACGCGTCCAGGAACACCTGGTTGTAGCGCACGCCGTCGTGCTCCGACTTCTCGACGCCCTTGAGCAGGAACGGCGACCAGAAGATGGAGACGGTGGCGTTGTGGTCGCAGAACAGCCTGTTGGGCTAATCGTTATTGTGCACATGTATGTGACGTTGATGCAACGGTTGTCCAAGTCAAGGCAGTGGGCGGCAATTTGGAGTTTGAAAGAGGACAGGGTTGTCAGGCGCGCGGTGAGCACGTTCCCACGTCTTGCACTCGTAGGCAGTTGTGTTCAGTCACATTGTATCACTGTGTTAAGTGTATTACTTTCAGATAAATGCTAAGCTAACTTCTGTTTGTGTTAGTATGTATGTTAAGGTGTGGTTAGCACCTGAGAACTCCTTGAGTTCACCTTTGTACTGTCCAGAACGATCAGAGGAAAATAGCTCTGCCATCCGGCAGTTATCGTGCTCTGTGTGTTCATCGCATTTTCATTCTCGCGCGTTTCTTCATTCTTGATAGGATAGCCACCTAAATTGATGTGTGATCTGTGATCTGTAAGGCCTACATTTGGTACCAAAGCCTTGATCACGCATCAAAGTTGATTCCTTGTTTTTGGAGATGGGAGATCGGAGTGCGGGGAGCGGCGGTTCAGGCGGCGGGGGAGTCGGCGGCAATGGGCAGTTAGCCTATCCGTCGCTGACGGCGACCAACTACACCAGCTGGAGCATTCGAGTTCAAGCCATCATGGAGGATCAGGGAGTTTGGGAGGTGGTGGAACCGGCTGAGGGGACGACGGAGGCGCAGACGGCAGCGTTGTCTGGCAAAGACAAGAAGGTTCGCGCGCATCTGCTCCATTGTCTGCCGGACGACTTGCTGATGCAAGTTGCCAAGAAGAAGACGGGCAAGGAAGTCTGGGACTGCCTCAAGTCAAGATTTGTGGGCGCGGATCGAGTCAAGGAAGCGCGCCTGCAAACTCTGAAAGGCGAGTTCGACGCGTTGAAGATGAAGGACGAGGAGCCCCTAGACCAGTATGCCGGAAAACTGACAGCGATGTCAGTCAAGTACGGCAATCTTGGGGGAACGCTGGATGATGCTGCACTCGTCAAGAAACTGTTCGACACTGTGCCGGAACGGTTCATCAACGTGGTGGCCGGCATCGAGCAGTTCTATGACTTGAAGACCTTGCCGTTCGAGGAGGCGATCGGGAGGTTGAAAGCCTACGAGGAGCGCACTCGGCGGGGAGCCGGGAGCGGGAAGTCCGAGGGCGGCCAACTGCTGCTCACTCAGGCTGAGTGGGAAGCATGCCAGAGGAAATCTGGTGGTGACTCTTCGGGGAAGGGGAGATCACAGGAGGGCGGCAGCCAAGGGAGAGGCCGAGGCCGGGGAAGAGGTCATGGTCGAGGCGGCAGCAGTCGTGGTGATGCTGGGGGCAGGGATGGTGGCGGGAAGCGTGACAAAAGCCACATTCAGTGCTTCAAATGTCACAAACATGGCCACTATGCCAATCGCTGTCCGGAGGAGAAGAAGGGCGGTGATGAAGCACACCTTGTCCGAGCTGATGATGTTGAGCCAGCGCTGATGCTTGCGATCACGGAGGAGCCGGAGTCGCTCAAACTCGTGCCACGAGTGACCACGGGTGCACAGTACACTGCTGTGTATCTGAATGAGAGGAAAGTGGTGCCTGAATTGCATCTGACAGGAGGTGGTGATGCTGCAAATGATACTTGGTTCCTTGATAATGGAGCCAGTAATCATATGACAGGAGATGCCGAGAAGTTTGAGATGCTTGATGAATCAATCACTGGAAAGGTGGGGTTTGGAGATGGGTCAACAGTGGAGATCAAAGGAAAGGGCTCCATCCTGTTCAAGTGCAGAAATGGAGATCAGTGGGTACTGCCTGAGGTATACTTCATTCCTAAACTTCGCAGTAACCTAGTGAGTCTTGGTCAGCTTACTGAAACAGGCCATAAAATTGTGATGGATGATGATGTGTTGGAAGTCTTTGATAAGAACACTGCTAGACTGATAGTAAAAGTCATGAGAACAGTTAACAGACTGTATAGAGTTGAGTTGAAACCAACAGTACCAGTTTGCATGTTAACTAGTGTTGATAGTGGTGATCAGTCTTGGTTGTGGCATGGCCGGTTAGGACATGTAAATTTCAAAGCAATGAAGCAGTTGAGTCAGAAGAACATGGCTGCTGGAATTCCAACAATAGAGCATCCTGAACAACTCTGTCATGGTTGTTTGACAGCAAAACAGACCCATGTTCCGTTCCCAAAGGTGGCTAGGTGGAGAGCCACAAAAGCACTAGAGTTAGTGCATATTGATTTGTGTGGGCCAATAACTCCAGGGACAGCAGGAGGTAACAAGTACTTCATGCTTTTGATTGATGATTTCAGTAGATGGAGCTATGTTTATATGCTTAAGACTAAGGATCAGGCTCTAGATGCTTTCATTAAGTATAAAACTGAAGTTGAGAATGTTACTGGGAACAATATCAATACACTTCATTCAGATAGGGGTGGTGAGTTCTTGTCAAGAGTGTTTCAGGATGTTTGTGAGAAGGCAGGCATTAGGAGACATCTCACTGCTCCTTACTCACCTCAGCAGAATGGAGTCGTTGAAAGAAAAAACAGGACTGTCATGGAAATGGCCAGAGCTATGATGAAAAGTATGAGTGTGCCTGGGAAGTTTTGGGGAGAAGGCATGAGGCATCTTGTGTACTTGGCTTTAAACAGTACGCCTACAAAGATCATGGGTGATCAAACACCTTTTGAAGCTTGGTGCAAAAGGAAGCCTCATCTTGGGCATCTGAGAGTCTTTGGTTGTATGGCACATGTCAAGCCTGCAGTGCCACACATCAAGAAACTAGATGATAGGAGTAGTCCTATGGTCTATTTTGGAGTTGAGGAGGGAAGCAAAGCTCACAGGATGTATGATCCAAGAAACAAGAAGATTGTGGTTAGTAGAGATGTGATCTTTGAGGAATCAGTTCAGTGGAAATGGAACTCAAGTTCAGAGGAGTCTGACACAATTGATTTCACTGTAGAAGATGAAGCACAGTTTAGCAACTCAGGTTGGGGTGCTGAGACAGTTGATGTGGGGAATCTGCAGCATGGGGGAGGAATACCAGCTGTAGTGACAGGTAGTAATACATCAATTAGGAGCAGTGCAACTGTTGTGCCAGATGAACTACAGTCATCTGATGGCACAACTGATCAAGTGCTTGGTGGGAATACACCAAGTCCAATGGGCTCAATACAAGGAGAGTCAATGCAAGTTGGTGAGCAGTCAGCTACACCATCTTCAGTTGATAGTGATATTGATGAGGAGCCACTGCATTATAGAAGCTTAACTGATGTGTACCAGGAAACTTCAGAAGTGGAATTGGAACTGGATTCTGAAGGGGAGGCTTTGTTAGCTGAACTAGAGGAGCCCACAGGTTATGTGGAGGCAGCTGGAGATCCAGAGTGGGTGAAGGCAATGGATAGTGAGATCCAGTCTATTGAGAAGAACAAGACTTGGACATTGACTAAATTGCCTACAGGCCACAAGCCAATTGGCCTGAAGTGGGTGTTTAAGATAAAGAAAAATGCAGATGGGGAAGTCATCAAGCACAAAGCCAGGCTTGTTGCAAAGGGCTATGTGCAAAAACATGGCATTGACTTTGAAGAAGTATTTGCACCTGTTGCCAGACTGGATACAGTAAAACTGATTCTTGCAATGGCAGCAAATAGGGGATGGGAAGTACATCACCTTGATGTAAAGACTGCATTTTTGAATGGAGAGCTGGAGGAAGAAGTTTATGTGTCTCAACCAGAGGGCTATGCTGTCAAGGGAAAAGAACAGTATGTGTTCAAGCTTAGCAAGGCATTATATGGGTTGAGACAAGCTCCTAGGGCCTGGAACATTAGGCTGGATAAAAGTCTGAAGAAGTTGGGATTCACTAAGTGTATTAGTGAACAGGCAGTGTACAAAAGAGGGGCTGGAAAATCTGAAATTATTCTGGGAGTTTATGTTGATGATCTCATAGTCACTGGGAGTGAGAAGGATGAGATTGAGACTTTCAAGAAGCAAATGACTGCTGAGTTTGAAATGAGTGACCTGGGATTGTTGTCTTTCTATCTTGGGTTAGAAGTGAGTCAACAAAAGGAGTTCATTACTTTGAAGCAGTCAGGATATGCCAAGAAAGTACTAGATAGGTTCGGTATGCAGGATTGCAATCCAACTAAAATTCCCATGGATCCTGGAATAAAGTTGCATGAAGATAAAGAAGGCCAAAGGGTTAATGCAACAGATTACAGGAGAATTGTAGGTTGCCTGAGATATCTGTTACATACAAGACCGGACCTTGCTTTTTCAGTTGGTGTAGCCAGCAGATACATGGAAAAGCCTACTGTGATGCATATGAAAGCAGTAAAGCAAATTATGAGATATTTGAAGGGGACAATCCATCTTGGGCTGGTTTACACTGAAGGAGAAGAAAAAGAAAGTTTGGTTGGGTATTCAGATAGTGATATGGGAGTTGATCTTGGTGGAAGGAGAAGTACAGCTGGCATGGCTTTTTATCTTAATGAAAGTCTCATAACATGGTGTTCTCAGAAGCAGAAGACAGTAGCACTTTCTTCCTGTGAAGCTGAATTCATGGCAGCAACACTAGCTGCAATGCAAGCTTTGTGGCTCAGAAATTTAATGTCTGAGCTCACTGCAACTGAACCAAAGGTTGTACCCTTGTTTGTGGACAACAATTCAGCTATAGCATTGATGAAAAACCCAGTGTTTCATGGACGCAGCAAGCACATTAATATCAAATACCATTTCATCAGGCAGTGTGTTGAACGTGGTCAGATTGTAGTGAAGAGAGTTGGAACCAATGAGCAGAGAGCTGATTCTCTGACGAAGGCACTGCCAGCAGGGAAGCTAGCAGTGATGAGGTATCTGTTGGGTGTCAGGGAGATCGAAGCACATAACGATTAGGGGGGAGTATGTTGGGCTAATCGTTATTGTGCACATGTATGTGACGTTGATGCAACGGTTGTCCAAGTCAAGGCAGTGGGCGGCAATTTGGAGTTTGAAAGAGGACAGGGTTGTCAGGCGCGCGGTGAGCACGTTCCCACGTCTTGCACTCGTAGGCAGTTGTGTTCAGTCACATTGTATCACTGTGTTAAGTGTATTACTTTCAGATAAATGCTAAGCTAACTTCTGTTTGTGTTAGTATGTATGTTAAGGTGTGGTTAGCACCTGAGAACTCCTTGAGTTCACCTTTGTACTGTCCAGAACGATCAGAGGAAAATAGCTCTGCCATCCGGCAGTTATCGTGCTCTGTGTGTTCATCGCATTTTCATTCTCGCGCGTTTCTTCATTCTTGATAGGATAGCCACCTAAATTGATGTGTGATCTGTGATCTGTAAGGCCTACACAGCCAGCGCCGGAACCTGCCGTCGGCGCTGCGGTGCACGAGCTCCGGCGGGGATGCTGACGAGAGCAAGCACACGAGCGACTCCGCCTGGTTGCGCGCCAGCGAGTCGCCGACGAAGGCCATGTGGCGGTTGCGGAGCCAGCGCAGGAAGGCGGCCGCGGAGAAGGCCGGGAGGTCGCACGCCCGCGGCTGCCACCGCCAGTAGACGTACCCCGTGTCCGCACGCCCGTTCGCCGTGCAGCTCCGGCCGTCGTCCTTGATGGCGCCGCAGGTCGTGCCGTTGTAGAGCGGCGTCCGGGCGTCCGGCACCCACTCGCCGTCCGAGTAGTCGCACGGCAGCGGCGGTGCAGCAGTCGTCGTACTGACGATCAGCAATGTTTCATCGTTGTTGTCTGCTGCGGCTTGTCCTTGGTAAGGAGGTGGAGATATCGTCGATAGCGGCGGCGGCGCCGGTGGCAGCTGCTGTATCCACGGCGGCCTCGCCGCCAGCGATGATGGCTTGGTGGTAGTAGATGATGCCGCAGCAGGCGGAGCTGCTGGGTCGACGAAGAGGTAGAGGAGCGCGACGGCGATGAGCGCGTAGACGGCGTAGGTGACGAACTTCCTCTTGGGAAGCGAGAGCTGATGCTGGTTGTCGTTGTGGTGGAGATGATGCTGGTACGTCTTGAGGACGTTGGTGACCATCATGGTTGCTAGTTGTTCGGATGTGGTGCTGCTGCCTGTTGTTGTTCAGGCCTTCAGGGCTTCTTCAGGCACAGAGAGGGTAAGGAAAGTAGGAAAACCATGCATGGGCAATTGCATGCGCAGTGCGCGGGGACCAAGAAGAAGAGGAGGGGAAGAGGGCGGTTGGTCGGACAAGATTTTATGCTGACGTGCGGGTTTTCATTGGGTGCAACCGTGCAAGAAGACTTGCAAATTATAGAAGGCATTAATTATTGGGTTTCGCCATCAGCAGACGTGCCAACGACAGTTTATGTTTTGGCAAGAAAAAAGTTGTATCGGATCGGAGGTAGGTTATGATTTTGCAGCTACCTACAATTTGTTACGCTACCTGGCCCGCTAGACGTTCCTTTATTAGGATGCAACGATAAAAAGCTAAGTAGCTGTCATATAAGGACCCTGACTGCTGCCTGCTGACTGCTGCCGGTACTACTGCTGGCGCCATGTCGCCACTGTGTACTACACCCCCTCTGTTCTTTTCTTTTTATAATATGCGACGTTTGTTACCAAGAGCCATCCGCCATGAGGTTATATACAATGTAGATTCGTTTTTTATTTTATAAAAACCCGAGTGTTTCAATCTGATATATCTCAAGGAAAACAAAGGCTAGTACAAATGATGGATAGAGAGACATAAAATGACCTCTAAAATATAAAAGTACATCAAATATCAAATTGGCCGTCTTCTTTCGGATGTCCACTGTCTGTCGGAGCTTGAAGATCACACTGCAAAGACAACAAAGAAAAGAGCCACCTACAAACACCCTCGCCAAACATAGCTTTGAAGACCGCAAAATCCACTTGCTGTTGACAACGAGATCTAGTATCCACTGAAAGAACATCGGCCGGAGGAATCCTCCAAGAAACACATGCTTACAATCCTTCACCATCAAAACAGAGTGTTAAAGATTCCGAACCCTGCAGTAGAACAAACCAAAAGAAAAGGTCGAGATCGCCGCATCGAAAACCAACCAACTGCTTCCTTTGATAAGCACATCAACTGACAAGATCTGAAGAAGATCAACAGATCTGACAGACCAAACTCTCACTGGTCCTTCACCGACGCCAGATTGAACGTCGTCGAGGTAGGGAGAGACCGGAGAGACCTTACTCCAAAGTACCATCGTTGTCATCACCTCGTCGATGACACCAGAACCAAACGATTCGTTTTCAGTAGCTAAGTACGTAGCTAGCTAGCTTTGTGTGTAACCTGGGAAATGGTTCCCAAGATCGCTATACACTACTATAGAAAAGATTTTGTGAGACGGTGCCAAAATATTAACTGAGACGGTCACAAAATCTAACTGTCTCGGAAAATGCTGGATGATTAACGGAGGCGGCTATTTTAATTACTGAGGCACCAAAAACTGACCGACTCGCAAAATCGATTAACGAAGGCAGTCGGTTTATTTACGGAGGCGATTAGAAAATGCCCGCCTCCTTAAATTGATTTACGGAGGCGGGCCTCCCGAAAATGCCTCCATTTTCAGAGGCGGAACTCCTAGAAGGCCCGCTTGGGAAAAAGGTCGACGCCCAAGAGGCCCAGGCGAGGCCCGATAGTCGTGTTCCAATATATATACGTGAACTCAGGGTTTTGGGTTTCATTCACTCCTCCCTCTCTCTCTCACTGGCTCCTCTCCCTCTGAATACGAAGGTGGCGCCCCTCCTCCCTCTCCTCAGCGGTGGCCCTCCTCCCTCCCTTCGTCCCTCGGCATGCAGGGCGCGACGCCTCTCCCCCACAGTGGCAGCCTATCGGGTTCATAGACCCGGGGTCCCCAATGGACCCGCTTTTTCCGCAACACTCAGCCCAGCAGGCAGCACAGCAACAGCACGTGCCTGGGCCAGCCCAGATACACGACGACAGGCCGAGACCATGATCCGGCTGCGGACCGGCGCCTCCAGCCATGAGGCCTAGTTGGCACCCCGACTAGAAGGCCAGGCCAGGGCGGGACCGCAGTCCGACTCCGACCGAGTTCCCCCGACCGGTGATATGCTGGACCTACGCACACCGCTCTTTCCTGACCGATACGGTTGGGACCGACCAAGGACGCCTGCTCGGTGTGGGACCAAGGAGCAGGTGGAGCAGATAAGGGAAACACACCCATGTCAACCGTAATACCGAGGACCGTACCTTGCCATACCCTGCACACGCGCTGGGCGGTGCCATCGGGCCATGTCAGGCATACACTCTGCTACCTGCCCGTCACAACAGTGTGTGAATAGGGATGGAGGGCGACGGCCATCCCGTACCCGATGACATGGGCAACGACAAGACTAGACAACGCCTGTACTCTCTCTCTCTCTCTTTGACTTGTAAGGCCGTCCCCTTAAACTATAAAAGGAGATACACTCTCTCTTTCTCTGGAGGCTGGAAAACACAGATGCACACACAGAGACATACGAGAAAACTCTCTGCCTCTCTAGCACAACACTTAACGCACGTTTAGGTCCCCGTCGCTCTTCTCTACTCGGACCAGAGTCCGACCGGACCTCAAACATCCCCTTCTCATTCCTCATTCGTTTGTACCCCCACTATAAACTTCGAGCACCTGGGCTCAGGAATATAGTCATCGACCGACCAAAAACTGGGCGTAGGGCCCATTGCCCGAACCAGTATAAATCCTGTGTCATTGTGTGCTAGGCCACATCCGATCTAACGAACGACAAAACTACAAATATTTACTTGTCGGCCACATTTCGCACCGACAGTTGGCGCCGTTCGTGGGGAAGACGCCATGCATTCGCGTTCTTGGTTATCGAATGGCCCACCTTTTCGCCATCTTTGGCATGGCGAGCTCAAGCGATACGATTCGCTTTGGCTCGCTGGAGTTTCCCGTGCCCCCGCTCGGTGGGATGTGGATTCCTCTCGTCTTCGCACCATTCTAGACATTTCGCTTTGAGAGTCTGGACTTCGTTGCCGACCAGCTCGGCGTACTCCGCCTCCACGAGGCACTTGCCCCGGCATCCCCGGGAGGAGGAACGACCTCCATGGGCCCTGGTCCACTCGAACCCCATGGTGAGTGACGTGGATATAGTCCTCACTCACTGTTCAACACTTTTCGCTAGCTCTCCTGAGGATCCCCGTTGTCTCTGCCACGATCACCACGCAGTCGGTTCCCGTACGGCCTCACGTCCCCGCGGACGCGTACACATGGGGGCTCTAGAGGGCCATGACGCTGCCCCCTCTCATGTCCGAGTTTGTGGGAATGTTGGGCTACGCCCTCGCCTCCTTCCATGACCTCGTCGATGAAGAGGTCGAAAGCAACGGCTCTAGCATCGGTGACGTTATGGCACCTGGCCATCCTCTGTCCTGGGAGTGCGCCTTGGCGGACGCCCGGGGACAGCCACCAGAGGTGGTGGAGTCTCAGTAGACTCACCCCCTAGATCCTCGTGCGCAGGCCCTGGTGCGTGCGCAGGAGCACGGCGATGAGGTGCGACAGCGGTGGCAGAGCAGGCAGCCGCCTGCGCCAGCGCGCCCGGCGCAACACTCTGAGGTACCCGTGCGCAACCCGATGAGCGGCGCTCGAGCCCACGCCCGCCAGGTCCAGCGTAACATCCTGGCTGAAGGGGACGATCCCCCTCAGTTTGTTCGGGTCGGCCAGAACATCGCTGCCACAGCGATGCTTCTGCGTAGCCTACCGACCCCCAGGAGCAGGCGATCCACTAGAACCTCTGGGCGCTGGTGGAGGCCGCCACTGTTCAGCAGGCGGAAAGCTCCGCATTACGGCAGCAGCACGCGGCCTCTTGCCCAACCAGGGCACTGGGGCCGCACCAGTTGAATCGCTCTGTCCACTCACCACAGCAGTCGTCGGGAGTGGGGTAGGGCACCGCAGTTGCACTACAACCTGACCTGGCGCCTGCTCCACGTCGATCGCATGTGTGCGAGCGGCTCAGGCCAAACCGTGATGCTCGTAGCGTCATCAACACTCGGCGCCACACCCGACATGATGATGACGTCCATCGAATGGCGACGAGTGCGGGCAGCACAGGCCCCAGCCGGCCCGCCAAGGAGTACAAGGAGACCCACCCTAGGCGTGGCGGCCGACCGAGCGATCGGTATGACAACCGAAGCCCCAGCCCAGATGGCCCGGGGCCACGGGCCTTTGGTTGCCGTATCTAGAAAGCGTCGTTCCCACCAACATCACCAAGTACACTGGGGAGACGAACCCCGGTGTATGGCTCGATGACTTCTAGCTCACCTACCGAGCCGGCAGAGTGGATGATGGCTACTTCATCATCTAGTACCTCCCCATCTGCGTAGGAGAGTTTGTTCGGGCATGGCTCAAATTTCTTCCACCTAGCAGCATCCTCGACTGGGAGGACCTCAAGAGGGTCTTCATAGGGAACTTCCAGGGGACCTCAAGAGTTGTAAGCAGGAGCCCAACATGTCCCTGCTTGATTACATCCGTAGGTTCTTGAGGCAGCGCAACCCCCTTCCTGAAGTCATTGACGCAGATGTCATCAGTGCATTCCTCTTTGGGACAACCATCAAGTCCCTGGTCCACAAGCTTGGCTATGTGAAGCCCCGTACCACTCATGACCTGCTCGACATCGCCACAAACCACGCATCTGGCAAGGAGGCGGTCGGGGCGGTCTTCAGCGGTGGTCGGGACAAGGGCAAGGCCAAGCGCGAGGTCCAAGATGAGGGGCCCTCTACACAAGAGGGCAAGAAGAACAAGAAGGATCGGTGTCGATCGGCCAACCTAGGCCTGGTCACCGCGATCGAGCACCCAAGCAAGTAGGCCTAGCAGGGCTAGTCCGACCACTTCGACAAGCTCATGGGGAGTCCGTGCACCAACCACGCTTACCCCATCAAGCACCTCTATAAGCACTACGAGCTCCTCAAGCGCTTCCTGCAGCAAGCTACCAAGCATAAGGAGGGGAAAGGCAAGAGGACGTGGCCAAGAAGGGAGGCGCAGTGGGCAAGGATGGAGACAGCTTCCCCGACACTGAGGAATGCCTCATGA